CAAACAGAAAGGATGACTTTCTCTCTGTCAGGATTGGGGAGTAATGGATTACATGTAACAGGATTATGCACTGAAGACCCGTTTTAAGGTGGCCGACAGCGACAGGTGCAAACGCGCTACAACGGTCCAAAACTTCCATCAGGAGAGACGCGCTGCAGCTTCAGAAACGATGCAGATATAAAAACCCAAAGGTTCCACATGAAGAAACGTCTCCAGCAACTTGACAACACATGCAGCGTTTACTAAAAGCTGCAGGAACCAAACGCTGCAAGAAGCTCAAAACACAACGGAGACCAGGGGACACAAAAGAGTGACGCACACAGCTGGGAGACCAGGGGACACAAAAGAGTGACGCACACAGCTGGGAGACCAGGGGACACTAAAGAGTGACGCACACAGCTGGAGACCAGGGGACACTAAAGAGTGACGCACACAGCTGGGAGACCAGGGCAGGGACACTAAAGAGTGACGCACACAGCTGGGAGACCAGGGGACACTAAAGAGTGACGCACACAGCTGGGAGACCAGGGGACACTAAAGAGTGACGGGAGACCAGGGGACACTAAAGAGTGACGCACACAGCTGGGAGACCAGGGGACACTAAAGAGTGACGCACACAGCTGGGAGACCAGGGGACACTAAAGAGTGACGGGAGACCAGGGGACACTAAGAGTGACGCACACAGCTGGGAGACCAGGGGACACTAAAGAGTGACGCACACAGCTGGGAGACCAGGGGACACTAAACAGTGACGCACACAACTGGGAGACCAGGGGACACTAAAGAGTGACGCACACAGCTGGGAGACCAGGGGACACTAAAGAGTGACGCACACAGCTGGGAGACCAGGGGACACTAAAGAGTGACGCACACAGCTGGGAGACCAGGGGACACTAAAGAGTGACGCACACAGCTGGGAGACCAGGGGACACTAAAGAGTGACGCACACAGCTGGGAGACCAGGAGACACTAAAGAGTGACACACACAGCTGGGAGACCAGGGGACACTAAAGAGTGACGCACACAGCTGGGAGACCAGGGGACACTAAAGAGTGACGCACACAGCTGGGAGACCAGGGGACACTAAAGAGTGACGCACACAGCTGGGAGACCAGGGGACACTAAAGAGTGACGCACACAGCTGGGAGACCAGGGGACACTAAAGAGTGACGCACACAGCTGGGAGACCAGGGGACACTAAAGAGTGACGCACACAGCTGAGAGACCAGGGGACACTAAAGAGTGACGCACACAGCTGGGAGACCAGGGGACACTAAAGAGTGATGCACACAGCTGGTAGACTAGGGGACACTAAAGAGTGACGCACACAGCTGGGAGACCAGGGGACACTAAAGAGTGACACACACAGCTGGGAGACCAGGGGACACTAAAGAGTGACGCACACAGCTGGGAGACCATGGGACACTAAAGAGTGACGCACACAGCTGGGAGACCAGGGGACACTAAAGAGTGACGTACACAGCTGGGAGACCAGGAGACACTAAAGAGTGACGCACACAGCTGGGAGACCAGGGGACACTAAAGAGTGACACACACAGCTGAGAGACCAGGGGACACTAAAGAGTGACGCACACAGCTGGGAGACCAGGGGACACTAAAAAGTGACGCACACAGCTGGGAGACCAGGGGACACTAAAGAGTGACGCACACAGCTGGGAGACCAGGGGACACTAAAGAGTGACGCACACAGCTGGGAGACCAGGGGACACTAAAGAGTGATGCACACAGCTGGTAGACTAGGGGACACTAAAGAGTGACGCACACAGCTGGGAGACCAGGGGACACTAAAGAGTGACGCACACAGCTGGGAGACCAGGGGACACTAAAAAGTGATGCACACAGCTGGGAGACCAGGGGACACTAAAGAGTGACGCACACAGCTGGGAGACCAGGGGACACTAAAGAGTGACGCACACAGCTGGGAGACCAGGGGATACTAAAGAGACACGCACACAGCAGATATATAGACCTACTGTATACACATATAAACCAAGACAGAAAAGACAAATGACAAAGACAATGGAAGGTAAAAGATGGACGGAAAGGACAATGAAAGCCTATCACTGTTGATGGATCATAATGGAAACAGCACACACACACACACACACACACACACACACACACACACACACACACACACACACACACACACACACACACACACACACACACACACACACACACACACATTAAACCTCAGCACAGAGGGATAGAGAGGGGGAGGAGTGAGTGAGATATGAGGAGAGAGAAAGCGCATCACTATTGGGAGCTATAAGGCTCGTGGATGACCCCACGTGAGGGTCTGAGTGACCGTGACACCGGCCTCTGACACTATAAAGATGGACTCAGGAATAACGGAGCGGATTTATGAATGAAACCTCGGAGCGGAAACATCAGGAAAAGACTCTTCACTCACAGAAAAGAGAAAACCCTCAGATTTACCGATTTATTTTTCTAATTTGAATGACAATCGAATGGTTTGGACACCGTTTGCCATTTTCCCCTCAATTTGGAAGATGTTTTATTTCGTTTTCTTTCCCTGAATGTCCACTGAGGACTATTTGACAGCAGATGAATCAGCTGTCTGTTTCCCGTTTACTTCGGTGAACACACACGCAGACAGGCGGATGTAAAAACGGCTGTAGCTGCACCGAAATGTCCTACGATGCTCTCTTGGAGACTTAAGGGACGCGTGGTTTCGGTGCCATTACGCACAGCGAAGCGCAAAGTTCTCCGGTGATTCTGGTCTTCATGGACCCCGGAAGTAAGGCTACTGATCGGGCTCTGCGTCGCGTATAAAACCGGCATTATTGTAAAAGAAAACATCCCTCCATAAATAAGTTATTTAATGTGTCCCCCTTTCCTAACCAGCTTTAGATACATGCAGTCCATATGTGTGGTGGAAAAGAGGATTATTCTTCGCTGTTGTCAGTTCTCTGTTGGACTATTTGTGGTGAGGACTTGCAGCAAGTCGGGGATTTCTTTCCGGGAACACATCGAGGTGTTTCAGAGAAGCTTTCCCACTGAATAAAAAAGAAGAAGAAGCACCGAGAGAAAAAGGTAAATGCTACATATGTATTACTGCTGTCTGCTGCACTTTCACACATCATTTACCCCTATTTTATTTACATATTTTTCATCTGAGTTTATTTTACTTCAAATAAAGTGAACAGTTTGGAAAAACTGCCGAAAGACTATAAAAAAACTAAAAGAACAGACAGTGTCATCAAAGCACCAACGCTGCTTAAAACTATATTCTCCAATATGTTTATAACATCTGAATCAGAGTAGAGGCAGGGGGGTTTGACCCTGTAAATATACATGTGGTGCCCAAAGCTCAGATACGGTGGCCGACAGGTGCAAATGGCCCAAAACACTTACATTTGGACAATTGCTCTGCAGTCTTCTGCAAGTCAAAAGGTCTGTTTTAAATGTGAAGATCATCTTACCCTCTCTCTCTGACTATAGTTTAGATGTGTTTTTATTTTCAACATGACTTGTGAAGCACAAATGGATTCTACATTTCTGTTAACAGAACATTCATTATGTTACTGATTACATTGTTTTACAGTTAACTAGTAATTGCCACTAATTCGATTTTGAAAGTAACCCCCCCGCTCTCTTCCTCTCCTCGTATTTCTCAAGCATTCATTCAGGTTTGCTGTAAGTGTAATTGCTTTTAGAAAATATATTTCTGATCTCCTGCTAAATCCTGATCCATCCAGACTCTTCATGTCAGCTTTCTGTCCAGAGTCAGAACTAAACCTGGAGAAGTTCAGTTATTATGCTCCAAATATCTAGAACTAACTCCCGGAAACCTGCAGGTCCGCTGCAACTCGGACTACTTTTGAATCCAGGCTGAAGACTTTTCTTTTTGCTGCTGCTTTTAATTGAACTATTCATATCTAACTTTTATTCATGTACCTGTTATTCATGTTTCATTATCTTTGCTTTTTAATGAGTGTTTTTAAATGCCATTTTATGATATGTTTCTGCTGCACTATTTCTTTCCGTTATTTCTTAACGCTCTTAATATATTGTATTCTTGTAAAGCACTTTGAATTGCCTCGTGTTGAAAGGTGCTGTATGAATAAACGTGCCTTGCCTTAGATTATATTACGTATCCCGTTCTATTGTCCCTCCCCTTCTGCTTGACTTCCAGCCAGTGATGCTCCATGGACCGATTTTCCGCTTCGACGACCCAATTCGACTCCTCGATCCGTGGCTTTTTCCTCCACTGATGTCCCTGGAGGTCCGTGAGCCCGCTCTGGAGGGGGGGACGCTGGGTAACTCCACTGTGCCCGGGGAGGAGGGGGCTCCCCAGCAGCCTTCCCTCCCCTGGGTGCCCCCCCTGCTGGCCGGAGTGCTCATTACAACCATCGTGGTGGACGTGATCGGGAACCTGCTGGTCATCGTGTCCGTGTTCAGGAACAAGAAGCTCCGGAAAGCAGGTTGGTGTCCGTGCTTTATATCTTTATGGAGATTAAGTGCATGAAAACTGACTCAAAGGCCCCTATGATACTGTTTCTCATCAACATATCACAGCTCTCAGATATATACAGAGCCTGTCTCTGATTGGCTGAAACACCAAACAGATCATTGCAGCATCCCATAATCCCCTCTGTTTCAGCCCTGTTTCCAAAGTGCTGATTCTCTGTCTGTTACTTCAGATGAAAATAAGGAGCCCCTCCCCACGCCCCTCTGAGAGACATTTGGTTACAAAGAACTCAATGGTGCTCTAGAGGAGATTCAGGTGATAAGGGGGTGGGGTACCTTGGCTGCTGATTGGCTAATGGTTACACAAGACAAAACATCGTTATGACATCATCAAGTGGCCAAAATCTGATCAGCTCATTTTCAGACAGGTTTTTAGAGAAATGGATCAAAAAGAGAGAGAATCTTTGTTCCTGAAACTTTCAGAGTCTCTTTCCACAGAGGGGACACATGTTGATGTAGAAGAGACATGAAGAAGAGGGGACACATGTTGATGTAGAAGAGACACGAAGAAGAGGGGACACATGTTGATGTAGAAGAGACATGAAGAAGAGGGGACACATGTTGATGTAGAAGAGACATGAAGAAGAGGGGACACATGTTGATGTAGAAGAGACATGAAGAAGAGGGGACACATGTTGATGTAGAAGAGACATGAAGAAGAGAGGACACATGTTGATGTAGAAGAGACATGAAGAAGAGGGGACACATGTTGATGTAGAAGAGACATGGAGAAGAGGGGACACATGTTGATGTAGAAGAGACATGAAGAAGAGGGGACACATGTTGATGTAGAAGAGACATGAGGAAGAGGACTTTGTATAATAGGTGGCCTTTAAATTGACTTTTTTCTGAAGTTTGTTTCTTTAATATCGATACGATACGATATACTTTATTGTCCCCGTAAGGCAGTTTGTTCTGGACTCCATCCTGCAGTTCCGCATACATGTACATATACAAAATAAACATTGAAATACATGCACATATCATCACTCATGCACCGTTTGCACAAACACAATACACAGACCTAGAGCACATGGCCAACATTTAAAAGTATATAACATGCGAGTGCTAAGACGCTGAACGCAGGAAAGAGTGCTCATAGCGGCTCAGCCTGATTTTGGGAGCCCTGAATCCTCTAGCGGGCAGGAAGGAGCTGGACATCTGTGTGGAGATTATGGATTAGACACATATCCAGGTTGAATGATTAGGATTAGGCATTAGATGGATTTAGTGAAGTAGATTTACTCAAGTACAATTTTGAGGTGCTTACACTTTCCCTTTTTTCATTACATGCTACATTATATTTCTAAACCACTTTAGTTTCCGCAAATTCAGACAATTAGGTCATTTAAACTATCAAAAGTCATTACATCATTATCAGCCTACATGTCTTAAAGGTCTCCTATTATGCAAAAATTATGCCGAAAAGCTACCGATTCCACATGGTAGGCAACCGGCCAAAGGCTGTCGGTCAAATAAATCACTGATTGGCTGTGCAGCTAGCGAATCAGGGCATGAGAAGCAAAACGGAAGTGAGGGACCCAAACAAACTATTAAGAAGGCAAATGTGAGATTCCATTGAACTCCAGCTCTCGACTCAGGTTCAGGAAAGCCCCGTGAGCTTCTCGCTGGAGAGTGAAAATGGAACGCGCTATTTGTTGTTTGTTTATATCACGCAGTCTGTTCTTCTTCTCTCGGTTATCACGTCTTCCGGTTAGGGTTAGGGTTAGACACACTACCGCCGCCTGCTGGTAAGGAGAGTTATTGCCACTCACGCATGTGCAGTTCGTACGTGCTTCTTGGCCGTCGGCTGAAGTCTTTGCGGTGTGTTCCAGTGCGACACATGGCCAAGACGCAGAGACGCGAGGCGACGCAACAGTCGGGTCCGTCTGTGTGAGTTCTTTGGTGTCAGCTTGGTGCGTCCGGGCCTTTAAAGGTCTCCTATCAGGCAAAATGCACTTTTTGATGTCTTTTATACATAAATCTGTGTCCCCGATGTGTCCCCGGTGTGTCCCCGGTGTGTCCCCGGTGTGTCCCCGGTGTGTCCCCGGTGTGTCCCCGGTGTGTCCCGGTGTGTCCCCGGTGTGTCCCCGGTGTGTCCCCGGTGTGTCCCCGGTGTGTCCCCGGTGTGTCCCGGTGTGTCCCCGGTGTGTCCCCGGTGTGTCCCGATGTGTCCCCGGTGTCCCCCCGGTGTGTCCCCGGTGTGTCCCCGGTGTGTCCCGGTGTGTCCCTTGTGTGTCCCCGGTGTGTCCCGGTGTGTCCCCGGTGTGTCCCCGGTGTGTCCCCGGTGTCCCCCCGGTGTGTCCCGGTGTGTCCCCTGTGTGTCCCCGGTGTGTCCCGGTGTGTCCCGGTGTGTCCCCGGTGTGTCTCCGGTGTGTCCCCGGTGTATCCCGGTGTGTGTCCGGTGTGTCCCGGTGTGTGTCCGGTGTGTCCCGGTGTGTGTCCGGTGTGTCCCCGGTGTGTCCGGTATGTCCCCGGTGTGTCCCCGGTGTGTACCCGGTGTGTCCCCGATGTGTCCCCGGTGTGTCCCGGTGTGTGTCCCTGGTGTGTACCCGGTGTGTCCCCGATGTGTCCCGGTGTGTGTCCCTGGTGTGTACCCGGTGTGTCCCCGGTGTGTCCCCGGTGTGTCCCGGTGTGTCCCCGGCGTGTCCCCGGTGTGTCCCCGGCGTGTCCCCGGTATGTCCCCGAGACTCACAAAGTGTCCCACTCTCTTTTCCTCCGTACCCACATTTCTAAAAGCGGGGCTTCTGACCAATCAGAATCAAGTATTCAACTGAGCCATGTGACAATTATCTTTAATCAGCTCGATCAAAGAACATTCACGCTTCAGAGCCCCTCCTTTCACACCACGATGAATCACCGTGAAGCAACAGATGATCATCCAGTAATCAAAGCTGTCCTTCACACCTCGGGGAAAAGTTCCTCCTGCTTTCCCATCAACCTGGAGGTAGGGTCGGAGAATCCCGAGTGGAAAGGAAATGATTGGAGGCAGGAAATAGATATCCATCTTTCTCATTCATTCTTCCCCATCGCCTCCTGATTCCCCTCATCTCCCCTCCTCTCTTCTCTTGTCTCCCCCTCAAACCCCCGTCTTCTCAACTCAATTCAATTACTTCCTTTCCAATTCTGCTTCTCCCACCTCTCTGGGGTTTGTTGTCCATTGCATCCATTCCTTAAGACCTTCTTCTTCCTCCCGTTTCCTCAGGGTTTTCAATCTCTCTCCTCTCCTTTGTAGTTACTCTTCTGCTTCCTCCTGCTCTGTCAGGTCTCTCATCTCATTGGTTGTCTCCCCCCCCTTCTTCTTCTTCTACCATCTCTTGTCTCTGGTGTCCCTGTCCTCCCCCTCTATCCATTAACCTCTCCTCTTCCCTGTCAGAATCACATTATCTGATCATTAGTCGAGACCTATCACAGTTCATCACATCAACCGGAAAACCCACACATTCCCTTCATTCATTAAATCTCAGTGTAGAAAAAACAGCTCTAGAGACCTCTACGTTCTGGACATTTCTATGAAGCTATCTGTGATTATTAACAGCTATTATTAAGAGAGGAAGGGTTGTTCTTCGTCGATCGGACCTCTCATTTCCAGGTGGAATCTCTCCAACATGAGCGTTGAGTTTACCATCGCTGGTTTCTGGTTGATTGCCTTAAACTCACCCAATTTAGCTAATAGATAAACCACTTCCTGTTTGAAACGAATTAGCCTTAAGGGTCAATGAGTAACGCATATAGATCAGCGCTTCTCCAGCTTGCTTCAGAGGCAGAAGAAGTAATCCGCTGCACACCAGGCTGCTGATGAACTCTAAATGTCCATTCATGAAGATGCATGTTTATTCTGCCTTCATTTGAAAAGTTCAGGAGTATCAGGTCTCCTGCAGTTAAATGTGTCGTGTCAAATGATCATATAATAATTTAAAACATATAGTCTTTGTTAGAAAAATATCACTTGACACCAGGTTGAGAATCAATGATCAGGTACTAATTTATTCTTGCAAGAAGGAGCAGAGTTTCTTAAAACTAAGAAAATGTACCCTATAGTCCACTCTTGAACTATAAGATCCTTTAGTTTTTTACGAAACTAATAAAACTGGCCTCTAGTTTGACCCACAAACCATTTAAAAGTACTTTAGATAAGTTTACCTGTGTCTTCTAGGACTTTGTTGGTATCATTCCACGAACCAGGGGTTTGAAACCAAAACGGTGCCTGTATTGACGTTCTCTCCTGGGTCGGTAGTTCAAGGATCCGTCACTCCTCTCCTCTCCAGCATAACCTGGTCCCCCTATTCACCAAATTGTTTCTTTGTAAAGGAAACAAGGTAAGGGTCTTTTCGTAAGAGTCTCTTGACTCCCTGTGCACAGTGTCAGGCTCGTTCGCTCGGAGAAAAAAGGAGATATTGGATCCGGCTATGAAGGACCAATATGTTAGAAAAATATCACTCGACACCAGGTTGAGAATCAATGATCAGGTACTAATTTATTCTTGCAAGAAGGAGCAGAGTTAAGTCACATACAAAGGTTAACTCACACACATGGGGTATGTTGCTCAAAGGAACAGCAAAAAACATCAGGCTTATGTCGTCCAAAACACGGAGAGTAAAGCCGTAGAAAACAGTATTTCTCCAACAGTCTTATACTCTGATTGCCTTTTACTTTGTCTTGTATGTGTTTAACAGAGACAGATGTTATGGATTTACATGGCAGGAGGCAAAGGAAGTAAAAGGGGGATTTGCAGATGTTTAAACAATGAGGGGGTTTAATGGTTTAATGATGGGATGGAGGAGCAGCTGTTTCCTCTCATGAATATATAGAGAGACTGTCAGCAGAACTTATTTATCCTCTGAGGACACACTCACAGAAATATTTGACCCTAATACAGAGGATTCATGTATTTCAATTGCATATAAAATGTCCATCCATTTGGATAGTTCTTACATACATTGACTAATAAACT